ACAGCAAGCAGTGCATGCATGATAGTTATTTTTATTATTACACAGAGCTCATAAAGAGTTAAGAATTTTGAAACATGTTAGCTGTCATGACCATATACAATATTACTCTCACTAATATTTTTCAAAGAGGTTTAGTGGTAAACAAAAAGAGAAGTTATTTTTTTCTCTTATAGCAGGAAGACCAAAGCATACTGTAGAGACAAATAGTACAGAAATAAAGCTCTAAAGACCTCAGTTTCTTTCTTTACAAAAAATACCTGAGAGTTTAAGGGACGTGAATTAAACCGGTATTTTGAATGAAGTTATAAGAATGTATTTCTTTAATTTTGAACACAGTGATATAAACACTTTTAAATTCCTTCCTTTTCTTGTAATACCCACTAGAATTTGAGGGTGGTATTGGGGATCAAACTCACAACCTTGTGCTTCCAAGAAGACTTTATGCCACTGAGCTAAATCCCCAGTCCTCCCACTAGACTTTATGCTCCCTTTTTATAGACGCATCTAGAATGTACCTCCTCAAAAAATTTTCATTCATGGAAATTTTTGAACAAAGTCAGGAAGAAAACATATAAAAATGGAAAAAGGTTACAGATAAGTAAAAGTTTGATTTTTAAGTTTTAACATTCTATCTTTGGACTCTATCAATAATGTCTATGGGGGCATGATACTGATTAATGTTTATAGACCTACAGGAAAAGATGCCTAAATGCTGAGAAAAAAGTTACAAGAGAAATAAAATATATAGGTCACATTAATAATAATAATAATAATAATAATAAACTGATAGTAAACTGTGGTGTCAACTTGAGTAAGAAGTGCCTAGTAGGATAGGACACCACAGTTACAGATGTGTCTTGGATGATGTACTTCCTCAAAAGGGAGACCCACCAGCCAAAAGGCTCATAGAAGGAAAAGGAAAAACAGGAGAAAGGCTTGCTATTTGCTTCTTGCCTTTGGAACGTCAGTCTGCAGGCTTCCAGCACAGACTCTTCAGTGTTCCAGAGCCTCTTTTACCTGCCATCATGGACCCTTCATCTTCCTGAGGTGCAGGGAACTCTGCAGTGAGCTCCAGGCCTTCAACTTTTGACTGGATGCTCCAGCTCTCCAGCACCTACACAGCTTTTCTTCTACTCTGACTCTACAGGCAGCCACTGTAAGCCTCCCTTGTATATCCTTTATAGACCATATACATATATGTCTGTATATATATATATATACACACAAACATTTATATACTTTATATAAATATATAAAATATTAGAGAGATTAAGTCTGTTTCTCTAGCAAAGCCTAATTGATACAATAAATAATTTTTATACTTTTATTTTTATATTTCCAGAGTAATTTACTATATCTTAGATACTAGGTATTAGGAAATAATTAAAAAGGAGAAGTAAGTGGGGCATGGTGTATCTGGGAGGCCGTGACTGGAGGGTAACAAGTTGACACCCTTCCTGGGCAACTTAGCAAGACTCTGTCTCAAAATAGAGCAAAAACTCTGAGTTCAATCTAAAGGAAAGGTAAGGGAAGAAAAGGGAAAGGAAGGACACAGAGAAGGAGACCAGAAAAGAGGGGAAGAGCAGCAAAATGAGGGGAAGGGATGGGAGGCCAGGAGGAAAAGGGAAAGTCAAGACTTCATAAAATTTTCCCATTCTAATACAATGTACCTAAAAAGCAACAGAAGTCAGGTAGAGACAGCCAGTAATTCCTACATTAAACATATACAACCTATCAATGTCTCCAAGTGAAATTAGTACTACTAATGCAGGGAGTTATTCCACAAAAATTACTGTACAGTTTAGCAATTCAGAAAGTAGTTGTATAAAATCGTAATTATGGTATTAAATATTATTACACATTAGCCCTAAGAGAACATAAAATAGCTGCCTAACTGCCATATATTCTTTAAGCTTATGATTTTTATAAATTATACCTTGAGAAATAATTCCCCTAATCTCCTTTGATTTATTATTCCATAATGACATCTCTCTTGGGAGAAAATTCTTTTTATTTGTTTATTTGTTGTTCTAATACTGGGGATTGAACTCACGACCTCACATATATCAGGCAAGCATTTGAACTGCTGAGCTAAATTCTCAGCCCAAAAGTTTTTGAAACTAACATAAAATTAAAAACCTATTTTTATACCAATAGGATCTATAATTCTAGTGAAATGGAGCTCATTTGGACTTGTGTCTTTCCGGAGGGGCAGTTAGAAGAAAACAAAGGGAAAAAGATCTAACATCATTATCACTTGAATATTGAACCCTATGTTTCTATGTAGATTTATGTTAAAGAGACTTACTTTCTTTCTTTCTTTCTTTCTTTCTTTCTTTCTTTCTTTCTTTCTTTCTTTTGTCTTTTTAAGATATGCTTTTTACAAACTGCTATGCAATTCTGGCTGCTTCTGAGCTCACTTTGTAGCCCAGGCTGGTGTCCAACTTGCAACAATCCTCTGCCTCAGCTTCCCAATTGTTGAGATTACAGGAATGCACTACCATACCCAGCTCAACAAGGACTATTCTTAAATGAACTTCCCTGTTGTATGCAAGGAAACTTGCTTTCCTCTCAATAACCATCGGTGATTATCAGAACGGAGGACCCAGCAGAATATGGGTCATGGGAAGGGGTAACAAACTAAGTTCAGATGCAACTATCATCACCAGCCCTTTGATCTTTCTGTAGCTTTCTATTCATTGAGATGAAGAGAGACTAAAGGAAAAGCAAACTCAACGCAAGTAAGGAACAGCTATGATTCATTCAACATGCCAGGCAAGACAATATTTTCTTTCACTTGACCTTCCTAAGGTACAGGAGACAACTCTGTAACTTGGGTAGGGTCAATTCCTTGCAGGAAGGATCCACAGCAAGAAACTCCTGAAGCCATGATTAGAGAACCCCAGAAATTTAAAATCTGAAGCCCAAATTGTTCCCATGTCACTATTTCCCTCTAGCAGAAGAATCACTGTTTACTGTCCAAAGACAATTCCCTTGTCTTTTGATTTTAAAAACATTTCACTACAAGAATATTCAAAACAACACAATAAGAGAAAAGCATAACAACTCTTGTGTGTCCTGCATTCAGCTTCCCAAATGTGCCACCCTGTTTTTCTTGCCTTTTTGTGGTCCAGAAATATTTAAAAATATACCCTTGACATTTGAACTGAACTTCAGAATGTCTCTAACAAGTTACAATAAAAATATAACATTATCACATCTATAATTATCATTCTTTACTATCACTGGATGTCTAATTCCTCTTTGAAATTTTTGAGTGAGACAGAGAGTGTGTTTGTGTGTGAGAGAGAGGCGGGGGAGGAGCTAGCGACCAAATCTGGGGATGTCCACATGCTGGGTGAGCACTCTATCACTGACCTACACCTTCAGCACCACTGATATCTTAAAAATGTCTTCCTTCTAAAAATTAACTTGAATCAAGAATCAAACAAGAGCCAGGTACAAACAAATGCTAGTAATTCCAGCACTTGGGAGGCTGAGGCATGAGGCCTGTCTTGAGTTCAAGGCCAGCTTGGACTGCATTGAGACTTTGTCTTAAAAGAATCAAACAAGACCAACACATTATTCTAGCTGATATGCCTCAATGTTCAATAGCTCCTCCATCTCTCTTTTTTTAAATGGTATCTGTATGTTAAAGAAACGAAGCCACTTTTTCTATAGATCTTTTCTTATTTTTAATTTAGTATATAAATAATTTAGACTATAAAGTCCATAAAACATATTTCTTTGTCTCCTTTACAACTTGTAAAGGACTATAGGCTTGACTAGGCTGGGACTCACCTTTTCTCAATGTTGTTTCAAGAATGTTCAGGTGATAGCACCCACCCTCTACTGCACTGTCAGCAGGCATTTACCATTTAGTGGTCTTCTACTAGTAAGAGCAGAAATTGTTTCTACATTCTCCATAATCTGAATTTCTATGAGTTATCAGATACCTTATATTGATGGAACTATGTAGGTTGTGATCAAGCTAATATGTTAATCAAGAATTGATGAGAGACAACTGGTTATCACTCATCAAACAGAGAAACACAGAAGAAATTTTTCCTCTGGGTGTAAAAAAGAGAAGTCAAAGATCTGGCTAGACATGGGGAGAACTGAGAATGAATGCAGGGTATTAAAAAACAGAACCATACATACCTATTATAGTTCTAAAAGACATTTTACATGCCAGCACCAATGTTTCTAAACAAAGAAAATTCTAGAGTTCTTAATTTTTAACATTACTTCACCAAAACTGTCTTGTAAATCTTTCAAATTTTACTTCTTAAGTACCTTAAGAATGGTACTGATCTCTAAATCAAAGGTTCCAAACTTTGGTTGCAAAGTAAGTTTTCCTGAAAAACTTTTATCATACTGAGATCTTGGTTTCACTCAATCAATTCTAATTCAGCTGGTCTATGACAGGAACCACATATACAATGTTTTTTTAAAAAGTCTCAGAAGACGTGTAGTATGCAGCTATAATTGAGAACAACTTTTTAAATAAGAGTACAATGATAACTACTATTTACTAAATATATGTGTCTGGCATAACTGCTAGTACTTTATTTGAATTAGTTTCATTCTCTATTTCATAAATGAGAAAATGGAATAGTAAAGTGAACTGCCCAAGATCATACAGTTAATTCATGGGCAGTTGGGATCCAAAACCCATCTTCTTACTACACAGTCTCCTAAGCATGAATCATGCTTGTACTTCCTACTGTAAACAAAATGATCAATGGAAAACACAAAGGATAATTTCTTCCTTCTTTGTAGTACGGTAGCATCTTATGCAAAGGTACCAACATAACTTACTAGAAGTGTAAATAGACAACCTTCCTTTTACAAAAGATTCAAATTTGAGATTTCTACACTTCAATAATTTCTCACATACACCTCATGCAGCAGTTACTCAATGTTAAATGTGAAACTGCTTTAGTTTTGAAAATTAAAGCAAAAATGTACTACAAATACACTTCTAAGAAATGTCTTACCCATTTCTGTTCTGCCAAGTCCAATTCCATTATAATTCTCAAGTAATTAAAATGACAAGAATCAGAATCTTCATTGTCAACATCACCCAATTTGACCCGGATTCATTCTCCCTTCTTGACACGGATCTCCTATTTGCAAATGGTACTGTTGGGATAGGTCTGCAGGTAGTTTATAGATGCAAGAGTTCCACTTTCAGGGCCTAGTACAGTTTGTCCGCATCCATCACCTAAAAAAAAAAAAAAAAAAAAAAAAAAAAAAACAGGTGGGGTGATAAACTGTTCTTTCGTTTTAAACTTCTGAGTAATCAAGATTTTTAATGGTGATTTAAAAATACGCATGACCTCAGATATTTATATCACCAGTATATCTTTACAGAAAATAAAATGACATAGCTCTTAGCATATCTAGTCACAATAGCCAAGAAAAATCAAGTCAGGTTCAAATGATTACTTATGTAATTTATAATGTCAAAGACCTTTACAATCTGAACATATCTTAAAACCCAACTTAGCAAAGAGTTACAAATATATAAATATCAAAATGGCCTAATATTTAAAACAATACCAATTTAAACTATTTAAGATAACTAATATAAAAATGTGAGCAGCTGCACCTTTTTTTAACAAACACAAGCTCCTAAAATCTCCTGTGAAGCAAGATTATTTCTTAATAGCAGTTAAGATATGATAAAAATTAGGCAAACTATTGATTCTATTACAGATTACAAATCATTCCTCTTGAAAGTAGTTGATTTTGTTTATATTCTACTGAAATTTGACTGTTTTGTTGTTCCTTCTCTATTTTCTTCCTATAGAATAGAGAAAATAATTAGAAATTTAATAGCTTATTAAAGATAAAGAAAAAATTACTTTTATATGATAGTTCTGACATTTGCTTCATTTTTCAGCAAGTAAATACAAGAACTTAGATAACCAGCTTATTGTTTGTAAAAATAAAATATCTGCATCCCTCATTTTATTCACTGAGCATGCAGGAGGCATTGATTAAATGTTCATTTACAAGTTTCAGCTGTTACAACTGTATTATTTAGCATTCATTAACAACACGATTCAAATTAATCCTTTTAATAGGATGACTAATGTATGACAATGGGATTCAAATGAATCCCTTTCTAACAGGATCGCAAACATATACTTTTAAAATAGAAGCATTTTCTTCCTTAAAAGTTATTTATAATCATGTTATAGGAATAGTACAGTATTTACACAAAAACTGTATTAAATTCAATGCTGCTGAGTTTTAACCTCACTATGAACACAACTCTAAGTGAATTTTCTTGATTTAATACTTTTAAAAGTACTCATATCACTTATTAGAACAGATTAATTTTAAAAATTATACACATAAAATTTTTAACAAAAATTATACACCTAAAATTATATGCATAAAAATTATACACATAAAAATTTTACATAGTATCTAGTAAGAAGTAGATAATAAATATTAATGGTATGAATAAGGAAATGTTATGAAAAATTAATTCCAAACTAGTCCCAACTTTAATGATGAAACAAATCATGTAACTCTTATGTTAATACTTAGAAGTCATATCCTTAACTGACAAAGAATTTTTACCCTTGAGTTTGTATTAATATTCATCCCTTGTCTATTTTTTTTAATCAGGAATCAAACTCAGGACCTTGTGCTTTCCAGGCAAGCACTTATATTGCTGATCTATATTTCCAGCCACTCTCCTGGCCTACATTTAAAGAGCAATACTAAATATATGTGTGCTTGCTAGAAGTGTTATAATCTTTAAAAACCACTGGATAAATGAAATAACTCAAAATATTAGTGTGTTTTCTTTAGTAAACAAAAGCTAAGGCCACTTTTAGAGTAACTGAAATGTTTATCCATAACTTTGCAACAACAGATTGTTTAATGCATCCCCCATAGCCAATTTTAAAATGTGCTTTATGAAACAACACAAGTAGAGTGGTTAGAGTAATTTTAGATGTCTTTATGCTATTTGACCTTGAATAAATATAATGTTTCTTGTCCTTTACACCATAAAGCATAAATTCTATATAAGTTAATAAACTGATAAAAACAGATCTTTTGCATACATGGTGATAAAGAAAACAATTAAAACAGAGCTGTCTTTCTTTAAGAATCTGTGTGGGGGGTGGAGGGCAGGAAGAGTCCACAAGGAATGTGCAAAGAATGTTCTAAAATATGTGACAGAGTGCAGAGCTTTCTAGTCTTGTAAGAAAGATGATAAGCACTAAAAATCAAAGTTAAAAGTCAAGTATCTTGTCTACTGCTCTGGCCAAGTTGGAATATCTCCTATTTCAAAGAATACAGTATTTACTAAGTTCAACCTGACTAGATAAATAGCATAATTGTCACCTACTGATATGGAGTAAATACTTAGAATAATCTGGTTCAAAAGAGAAGGTTGTGCTTTCACTAGACCAGCTGCTTTGAATGTCTGTTATTCTGGAGAAATACATTTTATATTGTGACCCTGTAGATTTCCACATGATTATTCCTGACCCACTAATGACCTCCCACCTAGTCTGAAAAATACAAGACTCACAACACACAACTGAAAAATACAAAACTCACAACTCAAAGGCTAGAACATTAAATTCTCACATTAAGGAAAGACTTTGTCCTTTCACTTCTAAAGTAGCAATACGTTCCCATGTTATTTTTACAGTTATTGTACCAAAATTCTTCAAATATGATGAAATATTTAAAACTAAAAGCTGGAAAATATTCTTCGTCAGTAATAACACACAGCAGTGTTTCTCAAACAGGAGGTTGAGATCCCACAGGCATGATCCTACCACTCACTTGGCAGTATCTAGAGACATTATTAGTTGTCCCAAATAGGGGGAGGCATGTTGCTGACATCTCATTGGAAAGGGTAAGAAGCTGCTAAAATATCTTAGTGAATGAATAGTCTCCAGAACAAAGAATAATGGGACCTGCATATAAATAGTGCTGAGTTTGGGAAGTGCTGAGTTTGGGAAGTGCTAACTTAGAGTCAAGGTTAGGAAATCTCAGGCTGAAAATCTGGTTTAGTTCTTGGCTCAGTCTCATTTGGCCTAAAGGGTAATGCTCTTCTACTCACTAAGGATCAATGGAGAGAAAAGTTTTCTCCCAAAGGTCAGCAGTTATGGAAATGTTTTGTGCTCACACTTCCCAATTTTAAAATAAGTAAATAGAACACTTCATTTTTCTTCAAGTTAAAGAAGAAAAATAATCCTTATTAGTCTTCAAATTTCAAATGATTTTCTCCCAGCATCAAGAGCTTTTTTTTTTAAAGAGGGTAAAATTAAACAGAACAAAACATCATAAGAAAACAATTAAGAAACACAGAATTTGAGGCAAGACCACCAGAGATCTTCACTATCATATTGTCTCTTCGTTTCTTCCTAATAGTTGTCCATATCTTCACACACAGTGAATTCATCCCGAACAAAACAGTACTAAACTGATCAGAACAGGATGATGAAGGCATTTTAGGTCTTCAAGACCAGACAATAGGGAGGTCAACAGTGGCTTCCATAATGTCGTTCTTTTCAAAATAGCTGTCCATATCTTTACATATGTTGAAATTAAACAAAAGAAAACAGACTAACACCACTCTAGACAGAGAATAATAGTTTTGCTAGATTATATATCATGACACCATGGAATTAGCACTGGGTATCTTAGTGTCTCATTTTCTTCAGAGTATCTGTTCATTACATCATACATTATAGAATCTATTCTTGTAAACTGCTAGAAGTTCTACATATGCATGAATCTCTACACGTATACCTATTCTTTCAAAACAAGATAGCAACACAAATTCCTAGAAAAACATGAAATGATAAAGACATATAAAACCACAATACTAGGTGATCTATAGTAGTTATTATGATGTCTCTTATTTTCAATACAATTGTGTATATCATCAGGCATAATATAACTGAACAGCACTACCTAGCAATGTTAATAAAAACAAAACATTGGAAACATTATAGGACTTCAAAAGCAGTTAATAATCAAACCAGAGTGGTTTGATTATTACATCTTGTCATCTTCAGAGTAATTGCCTCTGTTCTTAGACTTGATACTATCAAGCCTACCAAATTCAAATAAAATCAGTCAAGACAAAACAGCAGTCTAACAAACCAGATTCAAATAAGATCAGTCACAGGAAGACAGTGTAAGTAATACAGGGCTTCAAGTTAACAGGAAATTAAGGATAGTTACCATATAATATATCCTATTGCTTTGAGATAGCTGTCTGTGCCCTCAAATCTAGTATGAGTAGACAGACTGGAACACAATAAAATCATATTAAACAGAGTGATAAGATTAATGTGGTTTTTAAATCCTGACACAGTATTAACAATGTGCTCTGCCTTCCTTTTTTAGACAATGCATCAAGAGTTTTTAACATAGGGAGAAAAGGGTATCAACAGGATCTGAAAAATTGATTAGTGTTTGGTGCTTGGAAGAATAATCATCTGTGACAAGGACACACTACCTACTTTTACTTACCATATTAAGGTAAGAAGTGACAAAAAACTATTACAAGTGGGAAACTAACTTCCAAAATAGATGTCAAAGCTCTAGTTCTTACTCTCCCCAACCAACCCAACATGCCATCTCCTTTCCCAACCAAATCTTCACCACCATCCCTGTTAACTAATCTATCTTCTGTTCCTCCCTTACATGGATTCCACTTGAGTATAACTAATCATAAATGATAGAAAGCTCTTGGTGTAATTTTTGAATTGTACTTTTATTCAGTGTAGAAAAATAGAAAAAAAAATGAAAGCTTATCTTAGTGCTCTTTTGTTCAGATGCAGATTTACCTAGGGGATTACTCATAGAACACATGTTCACTTCCCTTGAACAGATGTTTTAAGCCACATACGAATTTTGATACTTTTCCAGGAAAAAAATGCAATGATTTTTAAAACTACTTAACCCTAGAGAAAATGGAAAGAACATTAAATACATTCAAGTGCCAATCAAATAATACAACATGAAATGCAAACCTATTGTATTCTAGCTAAATTCCAAATTAAGTATTTTTAGGATAATGTTCTGATGATGATTCATGTGCCCCTCTAGCAACATTCATATTTTAGTAATACTATTACTAAGAAAGATGTATTACAGATTTTTAATCATATGAACTCTGTGAGTGGCAAAAATACTTCCTTTCACAGCAGACAACACAAATGCAGGAAGCTTATAAAAATATGTCGAAAAAGAAGAGCAATGTATCTTTCATCATAATTGCAGAGAGCCTGAATCTTGTTTTTATCACTGTGACCTACTGAGTCTGCCATTATCCTCAAATAAGTACTATTTCTAGATCTTGTAATACATCTGTGAGATCCTACAATAACATAAAAAAAGGTGAAATATTTAGGAATAAAAGTTCAAAAACATGAGGCTGCAGCCATTAAATACTACATGCAATTTAACTGGATACAGTGAAGTTATTGGTATATTATCTACTGCTGTGAATAATAAGGCAGAAGTTCTTTAACTGTGAGGTTTCTTAATTTGTGTCACTGCGTATCTCAAACACATAATCAAACTAGTACTTTAATTTCACTTAATGTCCCCTTTGTCACTTTTAATTTTCCTTTTACTGAAGTTAATTTTATCTGAAATTATAATGCAGTTGCTTTAGTTTACCTCTGATTAGCAGTCATATGGCACATCATTCTCTAGCCCTGTTATTTTTTGTTGTGGTAGTAGTGATAAAATATACAACCCAGAAATTTTGTTTTTTAAAATAGATTTTA